TTTCCCAAACTTTTAAGTCTGAGTTCGGGAGAGTCTCCAAGAGGGTCACTATAAAACCGAAACTTACTCATATCTCATTGACTTGCTATGTTGATTGCTTTGATAATTTCGTAGTGTCTGATTTTATAAATGGTAGTGCAGAGGGCAAAAGAGATGATAAACATTTGGGTTAGTAGCTGAAGCATATGCTTGGTTAGCAGAGTCGCAGGTGTTATAGTATTACTATTTACTTAATGAACCAAAGTGGTAGCTGTATATTCTACATGTATGTAAGAGGCAAAGCTAGTTTTGTTTTATTCTTTCATCCACTAGGGCTAGTTTATTATGCCCCACTGCGAAGAAGAGTGGGGCATGTTGATTTGCCCCGGTCCGTTCGTTCCAATTTGTGGATATGATATGGCAAGATTTTGATCAAACTTGTGCAACAGGAATGCAAGATGGGGATGGTCTTTGTACTTAATAGCATTGGAAAACAAAGGAATAATGGGTCTACTTGGGGCACCATGATCGTCTAGTAATAGACATTCAAAAAGTTCTAGACCTGATTAACTTTTGAAACCTGTGGGGAAAGGGTAACGGTCAAACCAACATCGATGAATAAGAATACTTGGTCAAATACCCTGTTATTTTACTACCCAAAATTTATAACATTGTACTTATTTTCTTAAAAATTTAAGTCATAAAGTGTTATCTATACATTGACATAATACGTTGTATGTCGCATTGAAAGTAATAATTTAAATAAGATCCACCCGAACAATTAAGAAAAACAGGAATAGAATTCGCTGAACAGCCCCATTAATGTTTTATAGCCAACTTCATATATTTTCACAAAAACTAAGTATTTCACTATTAACTTACTTGCATACACATGATATACTGGACATCAAACTGACCTGTAATACGTGCCCGATTAAAAAGTTGTGGTTTTGAAGGCCTATAAATGTCAATTGATGACTTTTGTTTTTCTAGTTCTGGCCTTCAGAGAAAGAATACAACTTGTAGGCCTATAGATTGATCTTCGAACAAAACAATGCATATGACTTTTACGTGTTTGTATTCCAGAAAAAAAATAAAGGTTGAATTCAGCCACAGAATAACCGCTACGTATTGTACATGTTTATACAAGTTACTTTTCACTTTTAAAAGTCTCGCACTGTGAGTGTGATCAGCACACAATGTTATGATAGGTACAAAGACCAAATCATAGAAGTAAGATATAACAAATACTTAGTGAAGACTATATAATTGTTTTAGCGCGTTCAACCTTTATACATATGATATACAAAAGAGGCTAAAAGTAAGGGATTTTGCTTGTTTCGTGACCATTCACCTTGTTGAGACACGGTTGTATATGAGGATTTTTGAGAAATTGAATTAAACGACTCAAAGGCGATCATATTTATATTGTTTTTTGCAATTCCACCATTATGTTACACATAGAGAGGTTGATTACGTTAGATTAAAACCGATTTTGAATATGCAAATCAGAAAGTCACGTGACAACCACACCTAATATAAAGTAACGATGGAACTGAATGCATCATAACTACAACTTAACATTGATTGGCTGTCGTAGGTAGTGTGATGCCACAGAAAATTGATCGTCTATGGGAATGGTATATAACATCTCTTTCCGGCGCAAAATATTCATATAATCAGATTATAGAGATGTTTTCAGATTGGGGATTTGAAATTTGCAAGATGGGGATGGTCTTTGTACTTAATAGCATTGGAAAACAAAGGAATAATGGGTCTACTTGGGGCACCATGATCGTCTAGTAATAGACATTCAAAAAGTTCTTCTTCAGCCGTGGTTAACAAATTCTGTCTTGTAATTAGATGAGATTCTACTAACACAAAGGTCGGTGGCAAACCGTCCACGTGCCCCAGGCAACAGCACGCAACATGATCAAGAATATATCCATCAGGAAAACGATTCAAGTCACACATACACAAGTTGTTTGCACTACATTATCGTTTGACCGTCACATACTAGCTAGAGAATGACGATTCAAGTCACACATACACAAGTTGTTTGCACTACATGTCCGTTTGACCGTCACATACCAGCTAGAGAATGGCATTCAAGTCACACATACACAAGTTGTTTGCACTACATGTCCGTTTGACCGTCACATATCAGCTAGAGAATGACATTCAAGTCACACATGCACAAGTTGTTTCCACTACATTATCGTTTGACCGTCACATACCAGCAAGAAAATGACATTGAAGTCACACACATACAAGTTGTTTCCACTACATGTCCGTTTGACCATCATATACCAGCTAGAGAATGACATTGAAGTCACACACATACAAGTTGTTTCCACTACATGTCCGTTTGACCGTCACATACCAGCTAGAGAATGACGATTCAAGTCACACATACACAAGTTGTTTGCACTACATGTCCGTTTGACCGTCACATACCAGCTAGAGAATGACGATTCAAGTCACACATACAAAAGTTGTTTCCACTACATATCCGTATGACCGTCACATACCAGCTAGAGAATGACGATTCAAGTCACACATACAAAAGTTGTTTCCACTACATGTCCGTTTGATCGTCACATACCAGCTAGAGAATGACGATTCAAGTCACACATACAAAAGTTGTTTCCACTACATGTCCGTTTGATCGTCACATACCAGCTAGAGAATGAAATGAACATTCATTCTAATGTCCATATGAAGACATGCCAGTCAAGTCGCTGAACGTAGTGCTTATGGATTTCTGTGCTGTCGGACTGTTGAAATTGGCGCTGGGAAACCGTCGCCCTCATTTAGACAGTAGATGTAATATGGAAAGCAAGCAGGTAAACACTAGTGCATTCTAGACATGACAGTTTTACGACGGAGCTTGTTTCAAAAGAAACTAAGCTGTAGGACTATTGTGAAGATGCACGGTCGTCAAATAGTATGGCTAGAAGTGGCGACAATGACTATAACGACGTGGTTTGGCTCCAAAATCGTTTTAATGTAGCATACTTGGCCTCTGTATGTCTGATTCCAACGATATGTTTTAGTAACTCCCGATGTTCACACCAATAAGCATGTGATTTAATACTTCATAAGCTTGTAAAATGGTCGAAAGGCCAGTTTTCTTCGCCCCTCGTTCAGATAGTAAATATTGGTAAAACAAATTCAACTGCGTTATGTAAGAATAGAAAGTGTTAAGTGAGTTAGTGTTAGTGTACGTAACACTACATTTTATTACATAATTGACTTCTGAGCACCACAGATTCTGTAAGGCACAGATAACTCCAGATATATAGATAATTCAGATATTGCTCACTTTTTAAATGTTTTTATCAAGATAGCAATAGATTTAGCTCCATCGGAAACCTACTGACAGTATACAGTTAGAGTAAATTAAAAAAACAAAAAACAGTCAATAATATTGCAGGACATTAATTGAAAATAAATAAATGGTAACACACACCTGATATGTAACATGTACTAAATTTATTTTAATATTTCTGACACCGGTAGAAATGTTTAGTGATAATTATAATTATTTCTAAATAACATTGTTAATACACAATCACTCTATAATGACATGCATTAGTAATTCTGTTTGTATGTATGTGGCTATCTTTGGTTTTATTATTTTGTAAGACTAAGTTTAAAATAACTCGTTTTTAAGAATGCAACATCACTGCATGTCGTTAACTGAAGCCCTATAGGAAGAGAAACATAACAGGTGAAATTAAAAATTTCACTCGAAAAATTGATATATATTCAGGAGATTTTAGAGGTTATACAAATGAAAATTGAAAAGTGCAAGACGAATGAAGTATTTGAATGTTAGCATGAAAATAACCTTGCTCTCGGACTAGTCAGACTTTGACTCCATAAATTATTAGACAAATCTTTTGTAAAAATATTTAGAAAATCTGATTTTTTGTGTGCACAAAAGACTTGTAAGGTTTACCTTATACGTTTACCAAATTCCGTGAAGATACATTTACTACGAACGATTTCGTCAGAAGAGAGTGCCTGGCATGGCCAGGTGGATAAGGCGCCCGACTCACAATCTG